TTTGTTAACAGTGAATGTTCCAGACCCACAAAGACTTTTTGGACCTGTCAAAGAGCCGGCGGTGCAGAACTCCAGACTCCAGGTTGTTTTGACAGGTTACTGGAGTCAGCATCATTTATCAGGTGTGCTGGGAGCAGAGGGGGTTGGGGGTTTTGGGTTAGGATTAGGGTTAGGTTATAGTTAGGTTATGGTTAGGTTAGGGGTTAGGGTCAGGTTAAGGTTAGGGTTAGGGCTTTAAGGTCAGGGTTTGGTTAGGGTCTAACAGGTCAAAGGGGTTAGGGGTTTAGGGTTAGGGTTAGGTTAGGTGTTGGAGTTAGGGATTAGGGTTAGGGTCAGGTTTAGGGGTTAGGTTAGGGTTAGCGGTTAGGGTTAGGATGGATTACGGGTTAGAGGTTTGGGGTTAGGTTTAGGGAAACTGATTCCCTCTCCCGTAGGAGAAGGGGCCTGGTTCCGTTGGCGTCCTCCGCCATATTGGACCACCGTCCAGCCATACATGTTTTGTGTTTGTGTATTTCTGGTTTGGTTTTTGTAATTATTTTCAATAAAAATGAATAAAAAATTAAATTGCGTTTTTCATGTTTTTACTGTTAACAACTGAGGGAGGGTTTTTAAAATCAGAAACAAGAACAGCAAGAACAAGACTCAGCTTTACAGGCTGAAACTCTAATCCAGGCATTTGGTATGGAAAAGAAAAAACCCTTTGGCCCGTTGGACAGACCATCAGACCCCACAGACACCCTAACCCTAACCCATCAGACCCCACATTTCCAGCTACTGCCTGTAAAACAGTGAACAGACTTTTGGTTCTGGACGGGACCAGACTGGGTCCAGCAGAGAGTCCTGGTCCCAGCAGTTCTGATGGGTCCTTCAGGGCTGGTGGTCAGAATCGTCGGTTCTGGTTCTGACCCATGAGCTGCTGGCTGAGCGGGGCCTGTCCTCCGGCCCCTTGGTCCTGGCCTCCCTCGGGCTGGCCTTCAGGCTCTTGGAGCGCATGGCGGGATACTTCCTGTCCTCGCCCAGCAGCGGCTCCTCCTCTTCCACGTTGCCACGGTTACGGACCAGGGGGTCCTGGTCCTGGTCCTGGTCCTGGTCCTGGTCCTGGTCCTGGTCTTGCCGGGCCGGGCTGCAGACGGTGCTGCTCACGGACTTCCTGCTGTCCAGGTTGGAGATAAGCTGCGCGACCTTTGACCTCTCCAGGGGGAAGGAGGCGGCCGCCTCCAGTCTGGTCTTCTGAGGGTCCTTCAGGCGGAGCTCGGGTGGTGTGGGGCAGGTGGGGGGGGGCGTGGGGTCACAGGGGGAGATCAGGATGTTCACGTTGGACAGGGACCGGGTCCGGTCTGCCAGGCCTGAGACTCCCAGAGAACCCAACACCTCCCCTGAAAGCAGAAGCAGAAAATGAAACACAGCCAGCAGGAAGAGAGGTGAAGGGGGGGGCTCTCCCTTTTCCCTCCACTGGGGGGCAGCATAACCCTTTTACAATAATACAGCAGAACCTCTACTTCTGATGCCTAAACATACAAATTTTCCAAGATACAAGTGAAATTTGATCTGAATATTTCATTTCGATATCCGAAGTATATTTCCAACATAGAAAAAGTCATTGAAAATAAAATATAAATAATAAGATTAAAGTGCCCGTCCCTGGGCTGCCACCTTGTCATGGTGGAGGGGTTTAATCCTAGGAGCCATGTTGTCCAGGGCTTCCAGGCCCTGGTAGGGTTACCCAAGGAAACAGGTCCAGGTAAATGGACCTACGGCTCCCTCCGCCCGGACGCGGGTCACCGGGACCCCACTCAGGATCCAGGCCCAGAGGGGGGGCAAGTTGGCGAGCACCTGGTGGCCGAGCTTTAACCCATGCTGCCCCCACGGAGCCCCAGCCCCTTTAACCAGTCCCTCGTTAATCCCCCGTTAGTCCCCTGTCAGGCGGAGTTCCCTGTTAGGAGCCCCCCGGTAGAGCTTTAGCTCCGACCTCCGGGAGGCTTCCAGCTCGTTCCGGGGGAGGTGGGGGACATGGAGTCCGAGTGGGCCGTTCTCAAGGTGGCTTCCCGGAGCTGTGTCACAGGGCTGAGGGTGGGTGTGGGTGGGTGTGGGTGGCTTTGGTGGCGCTAACCCTGAACCCGCTGGTGGACACCGGTGGTGATGGACGTCATCAGGTTGAAGAGGGAGTCCTATCGGGCCTTCTGGCCTGTGGGACTCCAGAGGCAGCTGGTGGGGAGTGGTGGTCCAAGCGGCTCGGGTGGCTGCAGAGGCCAAAACTTGGCGTGGGGGAAGTTTAGGGAGGCCATGGAAAGAGACTTCCGAAGGGCTTCGAGGAGATTTCGGTCCACTATTCGGCATCTCGGGGGGTGGTGTGCGGTTAACCTCAGCTCGTGGCGTTGTGGGGGGAGAACTTCGAAGACCTCCTTAATCCCACGCATCTTCCATTGAAGGGGCAGAGCCTGGGGAGCCGGGGTCGGGGTTCTTCAGTCTCTGGGGCTGAAGTCACCGAGGTGGTTAAAAAGCTCCGGGGTGGCAAGGCTCCGGGGGTGGAGGAGATCCGGCCAGATCTCCTCAGGCCTCCGGGGGTGGAGGACACTCGGCCGGAGTTCCTCAGGGCTCAGGAGGTTGTAGGGTTGTGTTAGCTGAAGCGACATCAGGGGCAGCTCAGCTGGACTGTTAGATTGGGGTGGTGGTCCCCCTATTAAAAAATGTGGGCCGAAGGGTGTGTTCCAACTATGGGGGAATCACAGTCTTAAGCCTCCCTGGGAAGGTCTATTCGGCGGTTCTGGAGAGGAGGGTCCGTCGAATGGGTTAAAGTTCAGGTAGTAAAGGTAGTAAAGTTAGAGTAAGTTAGGGTACGTCCTGTATCTCTGTGTCCACCTCTACCTCCATTCTCCAGTCTCTGAGGTAAAGGGCCAACAAAAACCCTTTTTATTGATTATTTCTTTATCATTTATCTCTTTTACATCTCTCTTATATAAGTAATTTGTTTTATTGCTATGTGTAATTATCTGCAGTATTTATTAAGGAGTTATCGTAGGTTTTTGGAACCAATTCTAGGAATTACAGTGTATTCTGATGGGAATATTTGAACCAACAAACCAATATTTAACATACAAAGTCAGTCCTGGAACCAGTTAGACTCCCGTGGAGGTTCTGCTGTACTTGAGATTCCATCTTCCTGTATCCTACCTGGTGACAGTCCTCCTTCCAGGGTCCCTGCTGGTCTCTCTGGACCCGGGGGGACCTTCATGGTCTCCAGGTCAGCCGGCGTGCTGTTGTCCGGCTCCGGGTGGATCTTATCCGGCTCTGAGTGGTTCTGGTCCGGCTCCAGGTGGACCCGGTCCCGTTCCAGGTCCAGGTGGAACCGGTACAGGCTGTAGCCGTCGGCGCTGCTGATGCTGCCGTGCCGCAGCAGAGAGGCCGGCTCGCAGACCGAGGAGGCTCTGGACCTGGACTGGACCAGCTCGGCCCGGTCCACGCCGGCCAGCAGCTCCACGGCGTTCAGCATCCGGCCGGAAATCTGCTCCAGCTGGGCCAGGCGGAGGTCCACCGTCTGCAGGGAGGCCTTCATGGACTGCTCCCGCTCGTTCACCTCCTCCAGACGCATGGACATGTTCTCCACCCTGAGGGGAGGAGGAGGCGCAGTGAGGAGGAGGGAGGAGGAGGGAGGAAGACCAGGGAGGAGGACCAGGGAGGAGGACCCATCATGTGTCCAACAGAGGACTTTCAGAGCCGGTCCAGAGTTTAAGGGAATGAAAGCCTGGTTCTGCTGGCCCAGTTTTGTTGGTCCGGTTCTGTTGGTCTGGTTCTGGTGGTCTGTTTCTGTTGGCCCGGTTCTGGAGGCCCAAAAAGGTTCTCACCTCTCACATGTGACTCTGATCCGCTCGTTGTTTGAGGACTGCTTCTGGTCCTCCTTCTCTCTGAAGTGCTCCTCCACACACTGCTCCTCAAACTCATGGAGGCTCTTCAGCTCCTCAGGCGTCAGAACCAGCTCTGAGGACACAGAACAGGTTCTACAGAGGTTCTACTG